CTGGAGAAACAACATAAGCAATTGACAGTATTGTTTGGAAATGTGGTGATGAAAGCAAGAACGGAAACGGAACTGATAGCAGATTGCCATGGAGGAACTGATGTGAATCTAGTGACTGCACTAGGATTCTACAGCATGTTTGGTTCTTTAGAGTCACTATTGAATCTAGAACAGAAACATGAAGTGGTCACAGCCATCAGCGTAGAAGTATTCCCAGGAGTTCTGCAGACTGAGCAGAAGTACATAGGAAAATGGAGGGAGGCAATCGAAACAGAGATGAACATCAGACACAGCGAAACTTATTGTAGGCCATCAGGAGCACGATATTTGGTGGGTTCAACGTTGGCTCCAATGTGCAAGAGCAGGTATCCTGTACATTTCGTAGCTGTGGACGTGAAGAGTACAAGAACGATTGTGGATCAAGCCTTTTCAGTGCCGAAGTGTGTGAGGTTGGCGAGAATGTCTGAAAAGTCCTACGAATTACTATGTAAGATGTTCTCAGCAGTTCCAGAGAGAACCAAAGAAGAGTTGGAGTCAATATTGGGAAAGAAGTTCATGGGATATGTGAGCGGGAACTTCAGTGACTTTGAGAAACAGAAACAGAGAGGATCAACTGTCACAGATTACAATGCAGTAGATGAGAATGATGAAATCCACCGAGTGATGATGGAAGTGGAACCATTGCTGGAAGCTTCGGGAAAACGTAATTGGAGGAGCATCATGTTGACGCATGATGAGTTTCCTTGCCACTGCTTGCTGCAGACCTGGTGGTATCCCAAGCGTAGTAATCTGATGTTGATCTGGGACTCTGGAGAGCTGCTCTCCATGGGTTTACCAGATTCATCACAGCCCGTAACAATAGTGATAGTGGGAGTTATGATGGCGATACGATGGCTGGAAGCTCATGTTAGAGAAAATAATAGACAGGAGGCACCAACGAGAGAACAATTGCGGAAATTAGATTGTCTAAAAGATTTAGATCTTTTTGAGACAATGTGCAAAGTTCTAAACATTCCGATGGAAGTGAAGAAGATATGGGCAAGAAAACGATTGATGCCATGGTTCAGAGCTAACATGACTGCGTGGTTGTACGAGTATGCGAAAAAGCATATGTCGAAGCATGGCAGAGTGTACAGTGAATATCAGCTGGACATTGGGGCAGGAGCTTTCAAGCGAGCTTTCGTGACTCATCGGAATGCAGTGACCACCGCTGTGAAAAGAATTTCCAGAACGAGTGAGCGTAGTGGAAATGAGAAGGCAGAAATGCTGAAAGAAGGTCTGGAGAGAAACGTGACGTTGTGTCTCCACAAGAGCTTCTGTAGAAACAGAGAATCCACCGTGGATCCCCTACCTTGCTGTAAACAGAGGGTAGAAGAGCAGAAGTGTTGGAGGACGGCTTCCAACAGCGTCAGGATAGTCAACGACGTGCTACAAGACACGGAAACCGAAAGTGCGGAGTCAGCATCGCAGGAGGAGGAAATGGAACATTGATGAATGGTCGAGAAAACAAGAGGCAACAAGAAAGAGAATTAGAAGAATTTAGAAGTTTTAGAACTTCTAAAGGACGAAAAAAGAAGAGAACAAAGGAGTGATGAAGAAAACTTAAAACTCAGAATTGTTAAAACTCAGAATAGTACGATGCCATTTGTGAACACGTAGTGAGTTGAGGTAGGGTAGATAAATTTCATTTTCTTATGCGATTTGTAAAATTGATTACAGAAAACTGGATAACTACTTGGCGATAACCCGGTGTTATGCGATCAATAGGGACATTGATGGAGACTTGTCCGGGGAGTATGTGCCATTCTGCCAGATGACACAGCGCAACCTTTCGGCGACATAAAAAAGAGTGACTAAAGGCCTTATGAACAAAAAAGTGTTGCGACGGAGGGTCAGAATGTTCTGGAATTTTTATTTTTAAAATTTCGATTGGAAGAAGAACATTTCTGAGAAATAGAGAAAAGACGGCCATTTTGAATAAAAAGACGAAAAAGAGAACCACTATAGAGATTGTGAAGAACAGTCGAGCAAGAAAATTACGAAGCCTCTTATCGTGGCAATAACACACGATAAGAACCTTAGCGACGGATATTTGTGGAGAAGGAGGCTTCAGTGGGGGAAGAAATATACCACGGGACCCTCCCGGGACACGAAAAATAAGAGATAAGAGTGTTATCTCAAGAATATTACGGGAGCGGAGGCTTGGTCCCCCAGAGACTGTCTATGTGAAGGGACTGTGTAAACTGACTATATAGCTGCTATAATGTCATAGATCTTAATTAACACCGTTATTATTTAATATTTCAGAGCATGAGTAGATAGAAAAGGGAAAGGGTCAATCCATCTCCAATGGATTTAATATAAAACTGTCACACAAAAACATATAAAAATAGGTTGTTCGAGCCGTGTTTTTAATGACAATCACGTAGTCTGAGGATCCGAGACTCAGCTATGTGGTTGTGTTCGCATGTAAACGAAAGCTGATCAAAAGTCGTTTGACTGATGGCCTAAAAATGGTAACTTTTTACTTTGCCCTTGTGACATTCGACCAGACTGGCCAAAATGCAATTTATGCAGGCTTCAAATTTTTAGCAGTAAGCCTTCCGAGTTGATGATTTCGAAGGATTAGCGACGTTATTGGAACGTTTAGCCAAACGGTGAGGGCTAGAATATTCTAGTATTTTAAATTTTCAAAATTTCGAATGATGACGTCACATTTCGGAGAAATGCTGAAACGGCCATTTTTAACAAAAGGCGAGTGAAAAAAGAGAACAACTTTATCTGTGATTGCGAACAGAACGAAAATCGAGATTAAAGAAAAACGACAACGAACTACAATAGCAGAGAACGTTCCAAGTTGCAACTATTGTGCTGCTACAATAGTTGCAAGGCCGTTGCCAACAACGGTGAAGGGTGAGAACCAGCCTTCCGGATTGGCGTGAAATTGAACTTGAGGAGCTTGATTCACTGGATTCAAGAATCCGGAAGGGTTTCGGGACTGGAACTTGTAGCCTTTTATATAAACTTTTAGCTTCTTGTCATGTCCTGAATTGAATTTAATTAACAACTGGATTCATTTTGATAAGGATGAGAAGCTAGGAGTTGGGGGGAAAGGGTTGATCCATCTTCGATGGAGATGATGGTTTTTATCTACTGAACAAAAACAATAGTAATATAATAAGTAGTAGCCCTGCTTTTAGGAGTGACCTCGTGGTCTGGGGATACTGAGACCCAGCCATGAGCTCACTATTTTTGCATGTAATTCAGTTAATTTGAGCGTTCTGGTCGAAGCCGGAGAGCAGTAACGTTTTTGTCGACCCGATGTAAGAAAGACCACCGAAAAGTACTGGCTTGGTAGAGACGGTGAAAAACATGCAAAGCTCTGTTTAGACGCTAGCCAGTCGTCTTAAGACTTAGTTTTGTTATCCGTCGATATGTATCTTCCGGGCGAATGTTACACCTAGACAGACCAGAAAATCAACTGGCAAGGTCGAGACGGTGAAAAACGAGTAGAATTAAGGTAACTGACGCCTGCCAGTCGTTAACAAGTACTTTTTCTACGCTCCGTCGCTGTGTGATATTTGGGCGAATGTTACAGCGATAATGTCCTTTCCGAACGGATCAGCTGCATGCCCTGATTAAATAGTTCCTCAAATTTTTAAAGATCTTGTCAGTAAGTCGAATGGCAGTGCAGGAGTTAATTTTCTGAAATCGCTTACTAAGCTGATAAACCTCATTGGAGATGGCAAAATTCCCGAACCCCTTAGACCTTTCTTTTCTGGCGCAAAGCTTGTCGCCCTCATAAAAATAGACGGAGGGTTGAGACCGATTGCCATAGGCAACACGCATATCATGTCTAAATGCGCTGGAAGCAAGGCCCTCTCCGAGCGACAAAATTTTTTCGGAAACTTACAGGTAGGATGCGGTACCAAACGAGGAGTAGAAATCGCTGCGCACTCGTTTCGAAACCTAATTGAACGCGACGACAATCCAAAATGCACAGTTCTTTTAAAACTAGATTTTAAGAAAGCCTTTAACTCTCTAAATGGAGAAACAATGCTGAATAATGTTTATTCAAATCGCCCCGAATTGTATAATTACACCCATTGGATATCTTTTTCAACCGCTAGCTTTTGAAATTCAGGGCGCGGCCGTTCCCAGCACAGAAATTTTTTTGAGCAAGCTTTGTAAGAACCTAAGCATGTGCACTGAGGAACCCAGAGCAGGCAGCTTTTCAAAACAGAGACTCTCCCTGGCAGTCCAGATTGCCAACGCCGCTTACGTACGCGGAACAATAAATGACAAAATAACTTTCGGCGAAATTTTTTATTTGTAACCCTTGTATATTATATTGTCTCGTGTCGAGTTGCGTGTTCTTATTGAAGAAACGTAACCCGTATCGATTTTAATTGAAAAGGACTTAAACACTTGTCATCTACTTTTATCATTATCACTTCCATATCTAGAAAATTCCAAGGATTTTGACTGGAATACGTGATGAAGGGACTCCTGACTGTAACCTTAAAAAGAGAGATAAAAAAAAGTTAGGTAACTGACGCCGGCCAGTCGTCAACAGGTGCTTTTTTTTACGCTACGTCACTACGTAGTATTTGGGCGAATGTTACATAGACGGAATTCTGAGATTTGTGAACTTCATGTACTATTGTTAATCAGAACTTCATGTACTATTGGGATTTGTGAGTCTCGAAACTGTTCATCTGACATTATTTTCTTTGAAGTTCATTCGTAAAGTTTTTTCTTTTTATTTTTAATTTTTACGTCTGGTGAACATCGCTTGGTTCTTATATGGTTTTATGTTTTCATTTTTACTTCTAAATTTTGTACAAAGGTTTCTATGTCAAAAGTCAACGGCAAAAGTGAACTTTTTCACTCAATGCAGTTGTTATTTCAAATTTATTGGTTCAATTTAAATTTCAATTTTTCGATTTGCTTTAATTTGTGATATTATCATCATGTGATTAAGAAAAAAAAATTTTTTTTTTTGATAATTGAATAAACGCTTGATATTGATGAGCTTCTCTATGTATATTAAAATTCGAAGGTATCTTAAATAAGTCGCCAAATCAGTTTTCCTTCAAAACACTTTGTAACAAATCATAACGCTCATTCAAATTTGACTTACATACTCACTTATGTATATACCTACTTATTTTAAACATTCATACGTACCCTGTTATTTGCCTTGATATTTATCCTCTCGCACAGAAATAAATTTTTCATCCTCCTCCTCTCTGAAAACGCTTGAAAATTTGTATAATTTTAGAAAAAATTTGACAGCTTTTCGTTTGATTGTTTTCAACGAGTAAACGCTGGTGATGATGTTGTCAAGCTGGTAGAATCTTAAGTGGACAATATGTAGTGAACTTTGATTGTCAAAGAACAATGACAACTGTTCATAGCTACAGTCATTCAAAAATCTCCGATCCTCTGCGACATGTACAAAATGACAAGTTCAAAGAAGCAAGAAGGCCAAAAAATGTGGTTTTCTATCCAAATGGAAAGCCGAACTTTAAGCCGCAACAAATGCGGATTACGCCGCATAAATACAATTCCTTCAATGATCTCTTAAAGGTAAAATATCAAATATTCTTCTTCTTCTAGAATGTTACCACGCTTTGAGTCTCTTACTAGCGTCCCCTAGTGATATTTTCCTTATTAAAGTTTTTTTTAAATTTGATTTGCATACCATAGCAGTTTATTGGAGACGCTTGATATTAATCAGAGATCATACGTTATTTTAGTAGGTCTGTGTTTTTCAGACACTTAAAAAATATGTTTTTTTAACTACAAGCTATTGAAGAAGTTAAACTTCTGTTTTTAAAAATGAATTTTGAACTACAAATAGCGAAAAAAAGAAATGTAAGGCACAAATTTTCATTTCCATTGGCTGATTTTGCCAAGTATTATGCTCTACTAATAAATTCAAGAACATTATAGCAAAAAATTTCCACAGTCATGCCGCTTGTAGAGGGAACCAGGCTTGCAGTATGCTGTATCACACAAATTTGTGTTGTTTCGAAACTTCATAGATCATCAATGAAAAAAAAACGCTAATTTATGAAATTTTAATATCCAGCAAATCAGATATACTTTTTTTCAATAAGCAGTATGGTTTTTTCTTCTCTATATTTTTTGCAGTTATTAGGTGCGCCTAAATATCATGCACATATTAGTATGCGCATGATAAAAGTATGAATAAGCAAAATCAATTTCAAAAGGACTACACTCTGATTTCGTTTTCTCCTCATCCATTCAATTGATAAAAACATAGTTAAATACACAAGGGCGTATATTTAGATTTTCTATTAAGTAGTTAAATTTTTCTGCAGCAAATGTTTTGCGCGAAATCTTGGAATTTTCAGTGGTGCTCAATTTTTCACTTATTTTGCGAAGTTTTATCTTTTAAAAATCTCATTAATTTAGAGACTGCAAAAGTTTTTTCCTCAAAAAAGTTAATTTGAACGTTGTATAGCACAGTACTCTTTTAATGCATTAATACAGTTGTCCATTTGATTTGTGTATGTGAGTTTCTTACACAAGCGTCACAGAGATTCTTCGAATTGAAAACCTTTCTTACGTTTTTGTTCCGCTTTCCGATACGAAAGTAACGGAATATTTGTGCTCGGGGTGGGTTTTTTTTTCTTCAGACAAATTTCGACTTTTTAACTAGCCATTTTTGATGGAATCTTTTTATATCATTCGAAAGCTGACTTGTTGTTGTCTTGAGCGTAAATTTGAAAAGATATTTCACCTGTGATCATTTTTCGTAAAGTTATGAGGGTTTTGACCAATTTGGGACAATTAACGCGCGATATAATTCGCGCCAATAAGCGGAGATTTAATCCGTCTTAGAAATCGTTCCAAATTGGTTGAAAGAAGCCTATTTGCCATAATTGATTTGTTACAAGGATCGAAATCTATTGTTTTGTACTTAATATGGCGTGTGGGGTGTTGATTTTCATCGAAACATTTTCAGATTAAAAAAAAATTCATTTATTTTCATCATTTAGTTTTTTTATGTTGTTTATGTTATTACTGCTCCATAAACGATAAAAGGCAGTCGGAACTTTCAGGGCTTCGCCCTGATACGAGCAGTCTTGTTATGTTTTGTACAGGAATTGATTAAACCTTATTTTCCAGCATCTCGAGGTTTGAAACCGTTTTTTTTCTCATATTTTTTTCTTTTTTCCATTAGTTTCTCTATCAGTTGTTTGGTTTTTATCATGACATTTTAAGCATTTTTCTACAGGCCGTTTTTCAGTCATCAAACGACCGTTTGTTAAACTACTTAAAATACTTAAGTTTTACTTCAAAGGGAATTTCAAGCCTGTTTTCTTTTTATAAATAATCTATGTCGAGCTTTTTTTCATAACAGAAAATGTTATAAAAAATATCAGTAGTTTTTTGAAATGCAGCTATCTTTTTAGACTTTTCAAGTCCTGAGTTTGAAAATAGTTTGTTATATGTCTTTAGGATTTAACAAAAACTGTGAAATTGCCATTTGGAGTTCGGCGAGTGTTTACACCTGTTGGGGGAACAGAAATCGATGATTTGGACGATTTGGAAGACGGAAATACCTATTTGTGCGCCTCATTCGAGAGGTTTAAACCAGCGTCCTATGGAAAACAAAATCAAAAACGGCCAGAATGGGGTCTAGTTGGCGGTGAGTTTTGCTTTATATGAATTAGTAATACATTGCGTTTTAAATTTAAATCAACTCGAGTCACTTTCATTTTCCGAGCCCTTCTCGAAAATTGTTGCCAGGAAAAATGTTCCAGATCATCTATTGTCCTGATTTATCAGGAACTCTGATTGACTTATTATCAGATTGTAGATTTACGAATTCTTTAAATGTTTTTTGCACCTTCTTTTAAGTCATTTTTTATGTTACGATTCTCAAGGAAAGCTTTCAACTTACTCAATTGATTGTCAAATAGTGAAACAAAGAAAATTAATTTGGCCACAAAATTCGTTTACATGTAAGCATAAAAGGAGCATTAGTTTCATTTTTTGCGTAATGTAATAAGGTTTTCTCCCAATCCCAGAAGCCTGAATTCTCAAGTGGTTGCTTCTGTGTGTTTTGGAAACATAGAAAAAGTGTCTTCGGAAAAATTAGGATTGATGCCAGTATACACATTAAATCTCACGATATAAATTACAAAACCAATTTTTGTTACACAAGTATTGCTGTAATTTTATCATCCAAAATATTTTTTATCAAAAAGATATTTTATATGCTCTCGGAATCAAAATTGTATTTGCATTACAGATATTGAATAAAATTTTGAGTACCAATATTTGGTTGCTTCAATCAAATCTTGTTTTGCCATATTTGTAGGATAGTTTTGAATATTTTTTTGGTACAACCATGCTAAATTAAGTTTCGAAGATTGATTATGTGGAATTCAAGACCTGTTAGAAACCATACAATCTGGACCGACTCTTCTACAGTCGGAAAGTACAAAAAATACGTGTGGAAATTGAGAAAATTCCCGACAGGCGAGGATGAAAGTCAGAATACTTTTCAAAATTTGCCAAGACCGTTACAGTTGTTACGCCGGGAACTCGACAAGCCGGTTGTGATTTCAATTTTCAATCAGAAAAAGCCAAGCGGAAAGCAATCGTTGCGTCGTCTACATGTTTATCCACCGCAAGGTCTTGTTTTGAATTTTTTAAATGATTTTAACACAAAATTTTAGATGATTACAATTAGATTACGAAGTTTTGGGATGCTTCAGTTTCTTACTTTCCGTGTTTTACTTATTGTTCGATCATCGCTAGTATTTCCATCATCAAAACTTGCCTGAACAAAATTTAATAACGGACAAAATATTCCATAGATTCATGCAAAAGCAACGTTTGTCTTACATTAACCGTCCAATTTTTGTAATTTAACTAACACGTTTCATTACGCAAATTTTTCTTCAAGTAATTCCCTGTAGCGGCGCAAGTTTGCACATCACAATCAAGTCAATCTTCACTTCACTTACATCCATTTGATTTGATTTATTTAAGAACTTGTTTTCGATAGTTTTTGACATAAGTTTTTACGATTGCGTTTCGATTGCGAGTTTTTGAGGTATGCGTTTCAAGTTTTTTCGATTTGCCGCTTCCATATGCTTCAATTGGTTTTAGAAGTGATATGTTTTTTTTTCAAGCGAAGTTTTAAACGTAGTTTTGAAACAATCGAATACTACTTCTTTCTACCATTTCATAAATGATACCTTCACATAAATATATACCTAACAGTACCTGTTTTCAGTTAGAGTGTTTCTGCACAAGATTTTTCTGTTTTTCGTTGTGACGGTGGTGTATAATTCTCGTGACAATGGTCTTCACAAAATCGGTGACAGTTTTTTGGGCATCTTCGTTTGTGTTTTACTGTCAACTTATGATTAGTACAATTAATACTTGTTGACCATCTTGGTGTCGCATTAATCATTACACTTCTGCGGTACAATTTTTCAGTGCATGCGCAAGTAAGATTTCTGGAGCAAACTTTGTACCAGAGCGGCGAAACATTTTTTGACCATTGTTCGATGTTCAGAACAATAAACCCAATTATTCACCTTTGTTTCGAAACAATTTTGTTGTGAACAGCGTAGCTATGAGTTTTCCATTTTAAATTGCACAAAATTTGCGACCGGCTTGCAGGTTTTGAGTACTTTGTCGGCTGGCTGCTTTGTTCTGAAATTAAGCTCTACGTTTGGGACCAAAATTTTTAAACAGACGCATAGGTCGATCATAAAATGGATAAAAAGAAACACATAAATGTGAGAGACTTAAGCAGGCAAGTTTGGCAAATAATTTTATTTTTTTTTAGGCCGAGTTCAGAATGCTGAGGTTCTATACACTAATTTGGGCTACACACCTTCAACTCTTCAGAATACGGGGAGTCAAAGGGGGGCTGGGTTCAGACAGTACTATTACAGAAACGAAAAGGGCACAATACGGCACAAGCAGCCTGTGCCCCCCAACAACAACAAAAATGAGTCATCGGTACTACTTGCTCCCCCAGTCAAAAGAACGCTTCAAAAGGGCACTTTTGGTGTATCATCACGTGACCGCTATGCCGGTTCAATGGGTCATTTGGGATCCCGCCCACCCCCTGCAGATCCGAAGCCAACAGGGTACGCGAAAAAGTTCAGAATCGTGTACGATAATGATCCAGCAAAAGGCTACGATTTCTTGTTCAATGAGCAAACCTCAGATACGTTTGAAAAAATAATGCAATACGTCAGCGAAACACTGAAACAGAACCTGAGCAAGTTTTTCACCCTAAGAAACCGAGAAGTCAAATCTCTACGAGAGCTGTATAGATGTTCAGAGGATGTTTTAATTGCGACAGCAAATGAACAAATTACAGAAGCGACTCTAAAAGCAGTTCGCGAGGCCATATACAGCTTCAAAAACGCGTCATCATCAACGAGTAAAAATGACTCCGGTTTCGGGGAAGGAGGCGACTCGGACCTGGACCGAACTCCGAGACTGAAACCAAGTGCTGCCGCGGGGAGCGAAGGGAGGCGTAGTCAAAATGTTCTCCATGAAGCTCAAAGAGCCAAAGTGAAAAACACTATCTCTCCGTCACGGTAATTTAACTATCTTCTGAACTATAACTCATATTGAGTGTTTGAACATAAATAAGAATTTTTGCAAATTTTCATAATTTTTTTTTGTCGTGTGAAGTCTAGAAGATTAAAATGACTTGTGTATTAGCTGAGTAAACTATCAAAATTTGGCGATAGCTTATTAGAAATCAAACTCAGATTAACATTTGAAATGCAGTTTTCCTTACCATTACAACTAACGAAATATACGCTCAAGCCCTTAACTAAATTTAGAGCTTGTGAACTTCAGAGCTGTGACTGCATTTTATGAAATGTTTTTTTTTTTGGTTAGGAAGCCCAAAAAAGTGTCAATGGCAACCACAACTTCAGAAGGCGATGAGTCATTGGAGCAACAGCCCCCCACCCAACAGCTCTCCCAGGTGCATCAGAGGAAGAGAGAGAGGGAGAGCAAAGAGAAGGAACTACAGACGCAGAGACAAATCGAAAAGTGAGAAGCGCGAATTTTGATGTGCTTTCTACGACTATCTTTGTCTTCCTTGTCATGTATTTTGGTTGAAATGCTAGACTTAATATTTCACTTGGTTGATAATCTTATAAAATGTTATTACATATAGCCTTTAAATGTTGCCGACTTTTTTGTTATCATTTCCTAGTCCGAAACAATTTTGATTTAATTCGTATCATATTGGCCTCGGAAATTTTCGCACCGACCATCATTGCCGAAGTTCTTTAGATTTCTAGCTGTAAGCAGAGTGTTTGAAAGATTGCGACCAAAAGGGTATACTATACGTATTTGTTTATTTGTCACGGTTGGAAACTTTTTATTTTTACAGGGACCAGGAGATGTCTCGGAAGAAAAAGCAGCAGGCGCGACTCGACAACGAGAACCGACGACGACTCAAACGACTGCAGTCGGAAAAACCCAAGATGACGACACTCGCCTCGTCTTCGGATCAGCACCCTAATAAGGAGAACCGGAAACCTCCTGCCGGGAGTAAGACCAACTCCGGACCGTCCCAGGGAGAGATCATGATTGCAGAAAACGCAGAGGTAGTCGCCGTTTTATTGTTAAATATATTAGGATAAAATGGAACATTCGTACGGAGAGGATTACTTCTCGAATGTTTTTTAGTCAAGTTTCAGCTCAAAAAATGATTATTAGGAAATATCTTTTGCGAACTAATGCCTTAGAAATAGTTTTCTTTTTCTGAAAGATTCGGTCATGGATAAATAAGATGCAATATTTTTATTTTTAAATAGCTCTTGGAACCGCCTTATTAAAAAATCATCAACATCTGTGTGACTTATTTCATCAGCTGAATAATAAATGATGAAAGCATTTTAAACTGAAAAACAGCTTTGATTCAAACTTTAAAAAAATATTTTGTCGTCGATACATTTTTATACGATGGACAATGCATTTTGTCAATTTTTGACTACCGATGCCAGATTTATGGAAAATGAATGAAAATGTTTGTCATTAAACTGAGAAGTTTCTCATCGTCTACTCTGAATTTTGTTTCCTCATTTTTGCTGTCAAAACGTGATCAGAATGATTACGACTATGAAGACGACTTCGAAGATGTCGACGCGGAGGAAGTTGTTTTGAAACGGGTGAAACCACCTGTGAAAAAAATTGTAAAGGTATAATCATAGATAGAATAGATGAATACATATTAGAGGAATATATATATATATATATATATATATATATATATATATATATATATACATACATACTGGAAATTAAATAATTTGAGTGCAAGTGTCTCCTTTTTGTATCTTTAAATTGATGATGAGATATCTTAAGTATTTCTCATACAAAAGCCGGTAAATATGAAAAGAAATTATCATCCATCTGAACTTAAGTTTACTTTTGCTCTTTGATTTAAAGAAGGGATCACTTTAGTTAGAAAAACAAGATGCTAGCCTTGCTGATGTTTCTATTGCATTGAAACTCCATCTGATAGAAAGTCTGAATATTGATACCTTTCATAAGAGTGTTGGCTGCTGTCACCATAAAGATTTCTTTTTCAAAACTGTCTCACTTGCAAACCGGCTACAAATGCAAGTTTGAGGTATTCCATGAGGCGATAAAGTGCTATCATTATCATTCTAAAAAATAATTGAGTTGGAAATCCCAAGACTTTGAATTAGTTTCAGATATTGGGGGTTTTATACTTTCTATCGAAAATCTAAATAGATTGACTTGGATATCTGTCATACTCTAGTTATAGCATGATCTATTGCCGCCTATTCACAATGTTTTTTTTTTCAGAAGGAGCGCAGAAAGGCGGAGCAGTTGGGTCGTGTGAACGGGAGTGAGTTTGACAACAGTCGATTGAATTCTCTGGAGACTGCCGCGATGGTGAAGCACGACAAAACAGACGACGAAAAGCTAAGGTTCCCTCAAAAAGTCAATAAAATCAAATAAAGTTTTGAACGACGAGTTTTTGAGGTCTCCTGAAAAAAAAGAAATTCTGCTTATTGCTATAATTGTTTTATGCATTGAATGTGTTGGATGTTTCTTAAATTAGTAACAAGCTTCTAAATTATTCTTTTCTATAAAAAAACTCGTGAAAGAACAATCTGCCACCCTTACTCTAAATCCACCCCTGGAACCACTGGCAAAACGGTAACTATTTTCTTCGGGTTTGCGTTAACGAAGTTGTAAAACGCGTGGGTTTGTTTCAGGGAACAGGCCGAGAAGGCGGAGCAGAAACGGCGCCGCCTGCTGGAGGAGAAAGAGCGGCAGAGGACGCAGGAGGAAGAGGAGAGGAAGGAGAGGGAGAAGGGGCTGAGGGGATTGCACGAGGCGGAACAGAGCCCCATACGCAGAACCCCCGCAAAACAGGTGAGAAAAGTCAGGGGTCGCTGATTAGGTTATTATTACCTTCCTTGTCACATCAGCCATCATAATCATCATCAACATCATATTTATAATCATAAGTTACTTAAGCATCTGGATCGTTTATTTGCTGGCAGAAGTTACATTTGAGATAAGAGATCCTCGAACTTCAATGTCCGGTGAAATACTTCGATGTAATGCAAAGATCGCATTGCACTTGACTCAACTTATATAAGATAGTGAAATAAAAAAATTCTTAGAAAAGGAGGAAATGATGCAAAACAGAGTCGCAATTCGCAGAGATCAAAGTTAACGTCACCCAATAAAAATATTCTGAAAAGTACTATTTTGTATCTTGGAATAATTTTTTAATTACATCTAAGATTTTACATCCATGATTAGTTATAAAATCTTAAAAGAATGTTTTTCAGCCGTAATATTTTCTTCATTTTTTTTTGAGAAATCGATCATCGATTTTTCGATGAGTCATAGTCATACTTTTTCCATAGTTTTTTGAATATATATCTTAATTGATTGTGTTTGTAGGCGGAGAAGAACGTCCAGTTTGAGGAAGCTAATTTCATCAAAAAGAAGAAAGTGAAAGCCGAAGGTCCAAAAATGCTGTCATTCGAATCCGAAGAAAAAATTCTGAAAGACGCCCAGGAAAGTGAAAAGGAGAGAGCTATGAAAGAAAGGGAGAGAAATCAACAAAATATCATTGAACTGGAAGCGGCTGAAAAGAAACAAAAAGACAACGACGAAAAAGACAACGACGAAATCCAATTGGCCGCCGAAGCAGCGGCGAAACAACAAAACCGAAAGGCTGCCGACAAAGTAAAGCAAGATCAGTTAGTATTTGAAGAAGCCGAAACTCAACGAAAGAAAGCCGAGAATGACAAAAAGAAAGCCGAAGATGCTCGGAAAGCCGAGGAAGAGGAGAAAGCGCGTCTAGCCGAAGAAGCCCAAATTGCTGAAGATGCTCGAAGAGCCGAAGAAGCTCGCAAAGCCGAACAGGCTCGCAAAGCCGAAGAAGAAAGGCGGAAAGCCGAAGAAGAGGAAAAGGCTCGATTAGCCGAAGAAGCGGCCCGGAAGAAAGCCGAGGAAGAAGAAGGAGCTGAAAAAGCCCGAAAAGCTGCTGCACTCGAAGAGGCGGCTCGGCTAAGAAAAGCAGAAGAGGAAAGACAGGAAAAGGAAGCAGAGGAAAAGGCGCGGAAAGAACGAGAGGCGGAGGCCGAGGCGGAGAGGTTAAAGAAGGAAGAAGAAGAGAAGGAGGCTGCCGAGAAGAAGAAGCGAGAGGAGGAGGAGGAAGCCGAGCGAAAACGACTCGCTGACGAGAAGGCAAAGAAGGAACGTGAGGCGGCCGAAGAAAAACGAAAACAGGTGTGAAATTCTTGATAATTGCTTGTTTTCAGTTTTGATTTTCACTAAAATGCATGTGGTCTCTCAAAATTCCTTGGCAAAAAGATCATTTATAGATTGACAAGTTTCAATGAATTTATTGCAAAACTACGAATGTTCCAATAGTTTCACATGGTCGAATTAATTGTGGAATGTGACAAATTTTCATTGTCATATGCTTTTTCTTTAAAAGCACTGAAAATTTGTATCTAAAAAGTGGTTCAACTATTGCTTTTTCTGTCTTGTGAACATTTGTGTAATATTTTTAACAGGATGAGGCTGCCAAGAAAGCGGCAGCAGAGAAGGAAAAGGAAAAGGAGAAGAGCAGGCCAAAGGGACTCATTTTGCCCATCTACGAGGAGGAGGAGATTGAACGCAAGTACGTCAATAGCATTGCCATATGTTGATACTTAACTTATATTTTAAAAATATATATTCATATTTGTCAATAGCATTGCCATATGTTGATACTTAACTTATATTTTAAAAAAATATATTCATATTTTCATTGCTAAAACGAATTTTTTTCCATAGTTTTCGAAAAAATTCAAAAAAAAAAACAATTGAGAGGTTTTAAGACATGAATAGCTCGTTTTGCTTGTTCTTGGCTTTGCCGATTGCAAAAACAACTCAGACTTTTTCCCAAATGAAATTTCAAAGGATTTCGGTGCCTAATCTGTCCGAAACAGCTAGAGTAGTTTCGAAATTTGAATGCAGTAGACAATAATTTTTTTAAATTGCTTATAAGACAAAGAATTCGAAACTGTGGTCTTTAAATGCTGCGACCTTTTGTTTAGATATGAGCTGAAGAAGAAAATGGGAGACGGGAACTTTGCCAATGTGTTCCAGGCACTCCTCAAACAGGGATCCCCTCCCCCAGGGGCCCCTGAAACCATGAAGGAGTACGCAGTCAAGCAAATCGACAAGAGCAAAGTCGTCGGTAAGTGACCACACCCCTCACTTTCATTAAAAAGTATCAGTTTATTGGGTAGTCAGTTGTTTTACAATGTAAATTTCGAAGAACACTTAATTCTGAAGTGGCACAATTAACATCTGAGCAAAACTTCTTAACAATTTAACAATTTCAAAATCACTTTCAGGACTTACGGTGAAATTTACTCTAGGTCAAGCTTTGAAAGCCAAAGCAAAGCTCAGAACTTGGCTAAATTTATGTCATAATGCATCAAATTTTTTGATGTTATAATATATTGTCTTTTGATTGTTGGTATATAAATTTTGCTTCGAATTACAATCTGGCTTATCAGTTGAACTTTTCAGGTTCTCGTAGAAATACATCAAGTGAGTTTCAGATCAATCATAGTCAGTTTTTTCAGTCATACTATTGTTTTCGTTGTCACTACTTGGCTTGATCACATTTCGGTCACTGATTGAAAGCATGACCAGATTGATATTTCACCTGTTCTATCTGTCTATTGATCTGACCTTCGAGCGTGCTTTGAGACTATAAAAATCTGATACTCGATGAAGCGATTTCATCTCTACTGTAGTTCTTTTCATGATAAGCTTGCTTGTTCTGTCTTTTAAGGGATAGCTTACCGATTTTGGCTTATTTGGAATCGCATTTGAGAAAAGGTATAAATGTGTACGTTGTGGATTGTTTTGAAACCAGTGATTTGTGGTGTAATAAAAAGATTATGGAGATAATTCTATCCAACCGTTGGAAAAACCAGCACTGGCAAAGCTCCAATGTAAACAACAATAGTCTTGATAAACAAACAATACCGCTGTGAAAAATTGATAACGTCTTTTAAAGCGTTACAAGATCCCTGATGCATGCGAATCATAAAAGAGAACGTCACATAAAGTTGTCACCTGTGATGTTGAGATGTTTCTAGGGGCTTTTTGATGATAGTTATCGGATCAATTGAGCCATCCCCCCCCCCCCACCGATGTTGGGGGGAGGGGGATAGCTCAATAGGTACTGGAGGCCACTTGAATTACTTTTAATTGTATAAAACTGTTTGCTCTAACAAATAACAAATGGGGAAAACTAGAAATCACATTGTCAAAACTCAAACTAGAATCAGAGTGAATAAAAATGGCCAAATTAGTCGCATATTAAACCGGTTTTTTTTCCTGTTTTGATTGAAAAAAACGCAATTGCTTATATTCTTAGGATGCTGTAGGGATTTTTTGGCATAAATAGAGGTCTGATCACCGACCCGGGCAGCTTGTTTTTTTTTGGAAACAAGAATTGCCCACACAAAACATCGGTAAAGAAATTGATTTTTTTAAAATTTTTCTCGAAAATCATATAAAAAAGTTTTAGTCGGTCATTTGTTTGCAACCAAATTACACTTAAACCACCTGCTTGCGTATGAAAACATATTATATTAGTATTTTGCCGTCCTTATTTGGGGGAGATAGCTCAATTGGTCCAAACGGGACAGAGGTTGCTTAATTGATCCCAAGTATCCTACTATTTTACTGATTTCTTAAACTAAATGTAAAAGTTTTCAATTTTAATATCAGATTTTAAAATATATGCGTATTTTGAGTTCAGATTAAACAAGCGTTTTTGTTACTTTCGAGGAGAGTGACAGAATATCTATGCTTGGGGTTGTTTTTTTGTACAGCGAACTCACATTTTTAATTAACCTTTTTGACGCAACTTTTTATACAAGCTGAAGGATATTGTGCTGAGCGCAAAATTGAAAAGATATTTGGTTTTTTGATCGTTTTTTTTTCATTAACTGGTGTCATTTTTTCTTTTTTTTGTTTCTCCGACACTTAAAAATGGGGCGGCACAGTGTATTTGGATTTTTTTTAGTTTCAACGCAAAATCATTAATGGGTAGAGTGATATATCATATTAAAGATCTTTCAGTCGTAATTCGAACTTCATTTAAATATTTTTGAAAATTTCTTCTAGTGATGAGAAAAACGCGTTTGAAATTGGCTATGTTTGGTCAATTTTCGAGCGAAGAAAGCGAACGAGCTGTTTTATTCAGTTTTTAAACCAAAATCAGTTGCCTGAAATTATCATTGGGATGGAGGGAGTGATATATCATATTAAAGCCCTTCCAGCCCTGATTCAGACAACATGAAAAACACTTCAAAAATATGGTCTCAGTGTTGAGAAAACTTGGTTCGAGTTTCAGACTACTTCCGAACGAGTAAAGCGAGCGAGCAGGTTCTTTATAGAATGATAAGCACTAAAACTTTAATCCCACTCCAGTAAAAATCTTTTTCAAGTCTGTTAGCGCCGTTTTGCGAATAAAAAGTTTCAAAAAATCTACAGAAAATGAAACAAAATCTACGCTTTAGTCTGATCTTTCTATCCTACTACGCACAAAAAAACGACACTAATTTAGAAAAAAATGGAAAAAAAAAGTTTTTTGTTGTTTTTTTTCTGAGATGCTCATTAACCGGCTATCCTTAATGCTTTTTTTTTCAATGAATCGTACAATGTTTCTGCATGATTTCAATATCGGTTTTTGTTTGGACTTAGAATTTTTGAAATGAGTTGGCTTCATATTTTTTTAGAGTTTTAGAATTTTTTTGTAGTCTTTTGAATTTTTGTTGAAATATTCGTGATTATGTTTTTTCTTGCTCTATTTTTTCCTGAATTTTAAGGAAGCATTGAATGAAATTTTATGATAGCAGATTTTTCGAAAGAGCGCCATGTTTCAAAATTTTCTACAATTTTGTAACTTAAAGAGTTTTTCAACGAGACTTTTTGTCCTATCATATCCCTCTGGTAATTGAAACCTTTAATAAAAATTTTTGATCAATTTAAAAGCCATCGTTTTCTGGGCAGTTCAATTCTTTAATATTGGTTTTACTCATTGCAAATAACTGACAAGTAACTCCATTCAAATGGACGGAAATTGAAAAGACAAAATTGGCCATTTTGATTAACGCTGGTGACGCAAACAAAATTTCCCCCGCGCGGCGTCATAAATTTTTCTAAGTAAACAATTAAATCAGCAAATTCTCAATTTTGCTTCTCTGCTTCGCTCCAAAACAAAATAGTTTTCAGGCGAAATTGCCACCAATTCACAAAAAGAACTCAAAATATTCAATTATTGTCAATTTTTCGGCACTGTTGAACACTTTTTAGTTTCGGATTTGTCTTACTTGGCACTGTAGAACGCCCTCGCTTTTGCATTTGTTTATATAGCAGATACATTTGTCTAAAGTTTGTGTGATGTAGAATTCTTTTTCAATGTTAAATTTTTGCATTTCTCTTTGACAGTTTCACTGCCCTTGTGGCTGTTATACAGATTTCATAAAGTTTTTTAAAAAAAATTAGTTATCCCTATTTGGAAAAATACGTTCTGATCGTGATTTGTTTACTGAAATATTTTAGAATAACTCAGTTTTTTTTGCTCTGTTATTACTGAGGACAACAATATGTTTAAATCAATAAGATATATAGATACAAAACAAGGATAGCCGGTTACTGCAAGTAGCGCAGAAAATTTCGATCACAAAAATAAAAAACTAAATTATGTCGTCCTCTATGTCGCAAAAAACGAATAGTATAATCAAAAAATGAATAAAAGAAACCTAAACAATTTTGAAGAAAGCGCTAGAAAAAATTTCGAATACTAATTTCACAGGAAGCAAATTAAAACATCACGGCCAATTTAAGAGTTGGACTATTCTATGCCTATAAGAATTACTCGCCCGCTTTACTCGCTCGAAGTTAGGCAGAAACTCATAGAATTTCAAACCGGTTTTTTCTCGACTTTTGTAAAATGGGTCAAATTTTGTCATCAGGGGTCGGAACAAAACAAAATTTTTCGGAAATCAAATCAAACGAGGGGAAAAATTGATCATCTGTTTCCTTAATTAATTTGCAAACCATTTGCACTGATTGGCAGTTTTTGAAAAATTGAAAAGTTGATTACTGAAAAATATTTAAGCTCAAAAGGTACGGGAAGCAAGTAATTATACTGAATTATTCCGAAATCAAACCATTTAAAATACTAAACACTATTTCTGTAAGTTAAAAATCACCTTGAAAAACTTCCGACATTGAAAATAGTTAGCGGCGATATTTGTGATCGTACATTTCTGTGCACTCATGTTATTATAGCATTTTATTGGTCTTAGTTATATATAATCATTTAAAACGTGGGTGGTCTCTTTCTGAAAGATTTTGAACTGTGCTTTTGAAACCACTCATTAATGCTGATGCCTCGAGTTTTTTTGTCATAGATTTATCTCAAGCTTTATTTTGTATTCTAAAATGATTTTTCTATTTGTACAAAATTTACTGGCTTTCAAATTCACATTTTAATGGTACTTTAAGTTTAAGCAAACGTATTAATAAATGATTTCTTTCAAAATTATCTTACACGAATGACTTTTTTATGAAAGCATTTCCTCAATAAGCTGCTGATGTTGCTTTGAGTTTAGTCTTTTTCCAAATTCCGGAACAAAAGGCCGTTTCCGTTTGTTGTTGAGACTGATTTGAACAAAATGACAGTTTTTCAAATGAATTTCAGATGCGTTTCAAAATTCATGCCAGTTTTTCAAATGCATCTTGCTGTGTAACCAAGTTTGTATGAAAAGTACAGCTTCTTACTTCAATATAATCCAACTGTTATTATATGATAAGTAACCTACGGTTTTAAAATCGAGTGACTTATTAATAATGCTAAAAGTTTTTGAGAAAAGTTGCCGGAAAAAGTTATTGTGGAGTTCTGTAAAATATAGAATATTCTGGAATATTTGGCTTGAACTGAGTGAATAGAATATTCGCGTTAACTGATGACGTAATTGATTGCGTATTTCAGGCAAAGTGCAGATGTTGAAAAATGAGATAGACATCATGAAGGCGTGTGACCACCCGAACATAGCTAAACTGTACGAAGCATACGAGACGGAAAAACACGTCTACCTCATCATGGAGTTCGTCAAGGGGGGAGACTTGTTCGACGCCATATCCGAGAACATCAAGTTTGACGGTAAGTTTCAGTCTCATTCGACCTACGTCTGAAGTTAGCATCAGATAAATATTCGATTCCAATCCACTTAAAACGAGGAAAATTGGACGATTACTTTTTGAAAAATCGTGTTGTCAAACTTTTGATTGAGTTTTTGGTTCAAAGTGAATGTGTTGAAATTATGAAACTAACGACAACTTCGTGAATAATAATTCCTAGGGCTGGGAAAAGTATTTTGAAGTCATTTTGCTTTTTGCGCATGATTCAATAAAGGCTGCAAATTTTTTTTAAAAAACAAAGTCCGTGTTGTGAAGCGAGAACTAATTGAACGCGTAGACAATTATGAGAAAGGCATAATCAGGAAGCGCTATATGCAGCTTCCAAGACTGGTTTTCTTGGAGTTAAATTTAGGTTTTTTCCATATAAACGAAAAATTTTCTTTTATAAGACTTACTCGCTCGTTTTGAACTCTCGAAGTTAGACTAAAAATCAAATACTTCAAACCGGTTTTTCTGGAAACTCAGTAAAGTTATTGGAACTTTTAAAACTTTATTCGAATAACGCTTAAAGAGGCTTTATTTTGGTATATCTCTCGATCCATTACGAGGATTAGTTATGGTAACTGATTTTGCGTGAAAAAAAAATGAGAAAAAGTTAAAACACTTCCGAATACAAAATTCCTCCCCATTTGTTGATGGTTGGGACAATAAGTCCGACAATATTTTTAAAGAATCCTTTTTTTTAGCGTCTAGAAGGTCGGATTCAAAGCTCAGAGATCAAAATATTGAATCCCAGACGATTAAAAAAATTAAAATCCTTTTTTCTGAAAACAGATTGAAATTGACGCAAATGTGCCCTAGAAATAGGCTCAGCCTGCAAAGGTAAAAAATTTATATATATATATATATACCATTTATTAATTTTCATTTTTAGTGCTGGCTATTTTTGCGCTGTGCGCATTTCTTTTTAAGAAAGTACTGACATTCTGTGCTCCTCAAGAACGATATCAAAAACGATTAGTTTTTCTGAGATGCTTTAGTTTGAAGGAATTAGTATAAATCGGGTACGTCTTTCATTGAAAAAAATTCTGTTGAGACAAGCATTCAAATAAATTTAGATCAGTGTTGTAATTATAAGTGTTTTATAATGACTGAACGTGTCACCTCACTCCTTGAATCATGTGAAAAAAAAACTAAATTTAAGTGCCCTAATGAATTGCTGCTACTGATTTTGAACAGCTACTTTAAATTTAATCGTAGAGTGTCTTCTCGCGGGCCAATCATTGCAACTTCGAAATCATTCTAAATCACTCCGTTCAAAAATCATCTTCTCAGTCGTGATTTTGAGTCCAAAAATATATATTTTCACAAATGGTTCTTAGTGTTGAGAAAAGCTGATTTTGTTTTTCTCCAACTCAAAATGAATGAATGCCACTCTCCTTTAACGTTTTGATTTCCAAAGATAATTTTTTTCATACCTCAAGAGATAATTTAAACGCTTCAAAAGTGTATGATTATCTGCGGGCTTATGTGCGGGAAAGAATGAAGTTGAAATTACTGAATGAAAGTTTTTTCTCAGGTTTCCAGAAACTGCAGCTGTATCCTGAATATTCTCTTTCACCTGCATAGCTATTTTTTTTCTTATTTTACATGTCTGGAGCTTTGCACTAATTTTTTCTGAATGTGAAGGTAATTTGGAGTTGATCAAAGTAGTCTGTAGAAAAAAAAATCAATGACTTACATTCGAGAGCAAGAATATTCATTTATATAGTCTTATATTCGCTAAGGCGTTAAATTGTCATCATTACAAAAGAAACAATCGAAGCTGCGCAAGTTTGATTAAGTTTCCTTTTCTCTGTAGTTTTAAAAATAACAAGTAGTATTTAGAACCTTATACTTACTTTGGATCCTATTCTTATTCAATTGTTTTTCGAGCTTTTTTTGCATCAGTCTTTTGTTAGTATTCAGCTAATGTTGATTAGGCTCTGGGTAGGTTAGCTGATTTTTTTTTCAGATTTAATCCTAACAGCTTTTGAAATTCATTGCTTTCTTTTTATTAATTGGTTTCTTTTTTGATCAACTTTATTGCGGTCTTTCACATGAAAAAATACAAGCTAACTTAAAATCCGGATTAAAGAGACTTCCTAGCAGCAAAATATGGTTGATACACTCAAAAAAGTTAAAGTAAATTTACCTTAAAAAATCTCGAAACACCTTAACAATTAAGGTAGTTTTGCACTTCTTTAAGTACACCTTAACTTGCCTATAAAAGCCTTAAAAGTTTACCTTAAATCATCGAAAAAAATGTATATCAGCCTTAAAAAATACATTAAAATTTTTTGTAGGTAAATTTACCTGAAAAGTTAACCTTTAAAAAATTGATACTTTACTGCTATTAACCTTAACACTAATAGACTTTTGAAACTTTATTCGAATAACGCTTAAAGAGGCTTTATTTTGGTATTTCTTTCAATTCATTACGAGGATTAGTTATGGTAACTGATTTTGGTTGAAAAACAAAATGAGCCTGCTCGCTGACTTTGTTCACTTGGAATTAGACCAAAACTCAAAAATTTTTGTCCGATTTTTCTCGATACCCAGAAGTTTTTTGAACAATTTTTAATTTAGCTTGAACTACGACTGATAGGGTTTTACAATGATATATATCTCGCCAAGGATGATATATATTTTAGCCAAGAATGAATGAATGCCACTCTGTTTTAACGTTTTGATTTCCAAAGATGACTTTTTTCATACTTCAAGAGATAATTTAAACGCTTCAAAAGTGTAGAATTATCGGCGGGCTTATGTGCTGGAAAGAATGAAGTTGAAAATACTGAATGAAAGTTTTTTCTCAGGTTTCCAGAAACTGCAGCTGTATCCTGAATATTCTCTTTCACCTGCATAGCTATTTTTTTTTCTTATTTTACATGTCTGGAGCTTTGCACTATTTTTTCTGAATGTGAAGGTAATTTGGAGTTGATCAAAGTAGTCTGTAGAAAAAAATCAACGACTTACATTCGAGAGCAAGAATATTCATTTATATAGTCTTATATTCGCTAAGGCCTTTATATTGTCATCACTACAAAAGAAACAACCAAAACTGCGCAAGTTTGATTAAGTTTCCCTTTCTCTGTAGTTTTGGAAATAACTAGTAGTAGTTAGAACCTCATACATACTTTGGATCCTATTCTTATTCAATTGTTTTTCGAGCTTTTTTTTGCATCAGTCTTTTGTTAGTATTCAGCTAATGTTGATTACGCTCTGGGTAGGTTAGCTGATTTTTTTTCAGATTTAATCCTAACAGCTTTTGAAATTCATTGCTATTTGATGTTTATTAATTGGTTTCTTTTGTGATCAACTTTATTGCAGTCTTTCACATGAAAAAATACAATCTAACTTAAAATCCGGATTAAAGAGACTTCCTAGCAGCAAAATATGGTTGATACACTCAAAAAAGTTAAAGTAAATTTACCTTAAAAAATCTCGAAACACCTTAACAATTAAGGTAGTTTTGCACTTCTTTAAGTACACCTTAACTTGCCTATAAACGCCTTAAAAGTTTACCTTAAATCATCGAAAAAAATGTATATCAGCCTTAAAAAATACATTAATATTTTTTTTAGGTAAATTTACCTGAAAAGTTTACCTTTAAAAAATTGATACTTTACTGCTATTAACCTTAACACTAATAGACTTTTGAAACTTTATTCGAATAACGCTTAAAGAGGCTTTATTTTGGTATTTCTTTCAATTCATTACGAGGATTAGTTATGGTAAGTGATTTTGGTTGAAAAACAAAATGAGCCTGCTCGCTGACTTTGTTCACTTGGAATTAGACCAAAACTCAAAATTTTTATCCGATTTTTCTCGATACCCAGAAGTTTTTTTGAACAATTTTTAATTTAGCTTGAACTACGACTGATAGGGTTTTACAATGATATATATCTCGCCAAGGATGATATATATTTTAGCCAAGAATGAATGAATGCCACTCTCTTTTAACGTTTTGATTTCCAAAGATAACTTTTTTCATACTTCAAGAGATAATTTAAACGCTTCAAAAGTGTAGAATTATCGGCGGGCTTATGTGCTGGAAAGAATGAAGTTGAAAATACTGAATGAAAGTTTTTTCTCAGGTTTCCAGAAACTGCAGCTGTATCCTGAATATTCTCTTTCACCTGCATAGCTATTTTTTTTTCTTATTTTACATGTCTGGAGCTTTGCACTAATTTTTTCTGAATGTGAAGGTAATTTGGAGTTGATCAAAGTAGTCTGTAGAAAAAAATCAACGACTTAAATTCGAGAGCAAGAATATTCATTTATATAGTCTTATATTCGCTAAGGCGTTTAATTGTCATCATTACAAAAGAAACAATCAAAGCTGCGCAAGACTGATTATTTTTCCTTTTCTCTGTAGTTTTAAAAATAACCAGTAATAGTTAGAACTTTATACTTACTTTAGATCCTATTCTTATTCAATTGTTATTTGAGCTTTTTTCCATCAGTATTTTTAAATTCATTGCTATTTGATGTTTATTAATTGGTTTCTTTTCTGATCAAACTTATAGTGGTTTTTCACGTAAAAAACACAATTCTTTTAAAATCCGGGTTATAGAATTCTGCAAGCAGCAAAATATAGTTAATACACTCGAAAAAAGTCCAGGTAAGTTTACCTTACAAATTCTCAAAACACTTTAACAATTAAGGTAGTTTTGCACTACCTTAAGTACATCTTAACTTGCATATAAACGCCCTAATAATTTACCCTAAATCACTTTAAAAGTTAAGGTATATTAGCCTTAAAAAAACCTTAAAATGTTTATAGGGAAATTTACCTTAAAAGTTTAGCTTTAAAAAGTAAGTCTTTTATTTATTTTTACCTGAAATTTTTCCCTAAAAATACAAAATTTACGGTAAATTGACCTGAAGTGTTAAGGTAAAAAACCTTAAAAATGAAAAAGAATTAAGGTTAACTTACCTTAATAATTCAGGTTAGCTTACCTAAGCTTTTTTAGTGGTAACAATTAAAGTAAAAACAACCTTTTATTTAAGGTAAGTATAGGCAAATTACCTACTTTTTTAAAGTAGATAGGAACAATAAAATTAGGAGACGCTTTTCCCGGCTTATTTCAAATATTTTTAATTGTCGGTGGTGACTTTTATTGTAAGAAAACGTGGTATTCTCATCATGAAGTGGCTGAATGATGAAAAGTTTTCCGAGCAATCAGCATCGCTAGACGTTCCTATTTGCTCAATATTGATTTATGGGTTTCATGACAATTTATCTCTTGCCTTTTTATCCCATTCCAAGGTATCCCAGTCAAAAATAACCAAGAAGTTAGAATAGTACAGGACGAAGTAGCCGACGCAAATTAACATATCGCATCTGAGGAATCGAAGAAAAATGGTGTGCAGAAACTGATTCATAGCAGTATAGCAGAGCTTTGCCGAAAATTCCTAGCGCACAGATAGAATAATTTTCTCGTTTTCTTTTTCAGTTTTTCTCAAGTCTGTGTCCCTAAAATACTGCGTTTTTTTTTCAATGCGCCATCAATTTGGCACTGTGTGACATTATATGTATCTGCTTATTTTGCAACTGGTCAATTATAGTTTTATTTAGTTGGGTTGGTTTGCTTACTTTGAAGTTTTGCAATTTCATTGAGATTCGTTGAGATTTTTGAGATTGAATGAAATTAGTGTTTCAACATGCGGTCTCTGTTTCATGAAGGACTCCGCCACTAAGAAACTTACGGAAGTTTCAGAGCGCGGGACGCTTATTTTTGAGAAATACAACAGCGTCTAATCATGCTGCGTAATATACGGATGTTATTCACATTGTTCTCTGACCTGAGCTCGTTTCTGCTGGACAGTAACATCATTTTGGGAGCAGTTATACTGAGTTTTATGTTTTGAAAATCAGTCGCAAAAAATTTTGCTAGCAAGAGAACTGTTATAATTAGGCTTATAGCGGAGAATTTTTTAAAGAAAAGGAGAGAGCGCTTCATTTTAATCAGGCGCGGATCTAGGAATTTCTCGAGGGGGGGAGCGGATTTTCAAAAAAAATGAAAATTTTGTCGACTTTTGTTTTCTGGTTGACTAAATTGATTTTCTGAGCTCTTCTAAACCACTATAAAGACACAAATTTGGCCAAATTTTTTGCGCCGCAGGCAAATTTTTGAAAAAATGCCAAAAAAAGGCGTTTTTAGTCACTTTTTGGGAAATTTCGACCGAAAAATCGCGTTTTTCCTCGCGCGCTCCCCCCTGAAAGTTAGATTGACGCCAAAGGCGCCTTTAGAAAATTTCTAGGGTCCGTCAGCAAATATGGATATCTCAAAGTAGTACAAAGGGGACCCTTTGGGTCGGCAGGGGGTCGAATCCCTGAGGGGGAGGGCGTCCCCCCTCCCTAAATCCGCTACTGATTTTAATCATAAGGCGGATTATAAGAACCCTAATCTCCTACTCAGAATTTCTTATTAGATTTTGACATGAATGCTGATTTTTTTCTCACAAATACAAAATAAGCATTTATGCACTACACTACTAATCTTGAGTTTTGGGGGGAAAAAACGAAAATGACTGTCCGCAAATTTTGTGGGTGGAATCTCAAATATTGTTACGTGAGTTTTTTCGCCTCCACCTAATTTCTGTTCCTGCTCAAAGGGAAGAATGTCGGCCGTGAAGCACCAGAATGTTTTGGAGCCTGACTGAAATTGAAATTGAGCGCTGCTTTGGGGCGATTCTCATGGTATACTGACCGAACTCGAAGAATATCCAACCAAACAATCAGCGTCTTAAATCTCCAAAACTGACTGATCTTCCAGCTTTTTTAAAAGTTTTTGAACGTTGAGTTCTGATTGGCTAACATAATTTGGGGCATAAGGATTGCCCTCGCTTTTATTTACACAATCTAGCTAGCAAGCTTAGGGCCATATTATGAAGCTGTTTTTTTTTCAACCCAACACGCAAGTAAAAAAAAATTCATTTGAAGGTATTTCTGGTATATTTCTAAGCATTGGCAATTTAATAGCATCTGTAGCTACTTAATACGAGATTACTGTAATCCGTGGCGCAGGTGCTAGGATGTTATTTCTTAATCTCGAGGTCGTTGGATCAATTCCGGCACATAGCAAAAGTATTATTTCTTAAGACTTCTTTTTGAGCACATTTACTTGTTATTTTTTTATTTCATTGTTTTTGCAATTTTAAAGCTATTTGTTGCCGTTTTCTCGCTTGTGTTTGCGAAGTGCAGCTTCGCCTGTGTGTAAAAGAAAAGACTAAAACAAAATGCAGGAAAAAAAGTAATTTTAGCTCTTTGATGATGGTAATTTTTATCATAACTGTTTGGCATAACTCTTGTCACAAACTGGGTCAAACCATGAAGGAAAAATCGTGAAATTTATTGAAAACTCGTAATGAAGTTTTTCGGCTAATCAATCACTTTGTATCAATTTACGTACGTTTTAGAGCCTCAGTCCAGTCTCATCATTCGCCACTTAGCCGAAGCGTTAGATTACCTACACTCTCGAAAGATTGTTCATCGGGACATTAAGCCAGAGAATCTCTTGGTGGACAAGGACGAAAAAGGCAAAATAGTCCAGGTCAAGTTGGGAGACTTCGGGCTTGCGATGCACGTGAAGGAAAAGATATACTCCGTCTGTGGGACTCCAACTTATGTGGCACCTGAAATTTTGGCTGAAACTGGTTAGTCTTCAATCAAGTTAAAAATCATTTTAATTGGGACCAGAAGCGTTTAATTTAATATAATTTTATTTTATTTCTTGATTTCCGAATTGGACGGCCAGGGGGCGATTTTTGATAAAATTAATCATTGACTTTTTTAACGGTATCAAAAACTAAGAATGGCTATAGCTAGCATAATTTTCTGCTGTAGGCGTTTTTTGGAAGAAAATGGTTTTTTTGAGCCTTTTTTTGGAAGGTTTTGACTAAAATATGCATTTTATTCGACTCGCATTCAAACCTCGAAATTTGAGTATTTTGAACGAACACAATTGAAGGGATTAGATTGGTCGACCCCCCCCCCCCCCCCCCCTCCTCCTCCTCCTCCTCCTCGCTGCCGACACATCAAACAGCATTCTTTTGTTATTATTGTATTCGTTGCATTGCAATCATTATTTTGCGAGAGAGTTTGTCATGACACATGCCGGTTGTCAACCCTTTGCTAATTAATTGACTCGTTTATTTAGAAATTTATCTGTAATTTGTATTCTGTTTTTTTTGTAGGTTATGGTCTGGAGGTGGACAATTGGGCTACAGGTGTGATCTCTTACATTCTGTTGTGTGGCTTCCCGCCCTTCCGCAGCATAGAGCGCAACCAGGACGAGCTGTTCGACACCATCCAGCGGGGGGAGTTCGAGTACATATCCCCCTATTGGGACAACATATCCGACAGTGAGTATTGTTAGAGAAAGAGCTACTCGAACCCGGAAAAAAAATACTATTGGGAACTTTAATTTAAAGCGATTTTGAACTGTTTTTGTGTCATGTAATTTTAAACAAGACTGTTCGTATCAGGACGAAGCCCTGAAAGCTTCCACTGCATTTTTTGGAGTAAGGTTCGCCTAAAAAATGGATGAAATTTTCAAAAAAATAGAAAAAATTTAAAGTTTTGATTTTTTAAATCATCCCCTCACACGCTATATAAAGTACAAAGTTATATATTTCGATATAGCAAAGCAGACGCGGATATAGGATTTTCTCAAGGTGGGGGATTTTCAGAAAATTTTTTGTTTAAATTCTGTCTACTTTTTTTAGATCGACCAAAATTAATTTTCTGAGCACACCTAGAAAGCTAAATAGACCCAATTTTGACCAAAAATTTTAACCAAATTTGGTTTTTGGGCCCCTTTTGGAAAATTTTGATTAAAAATTTGCGTTTTTTGTAGCGCGCGCACCCCTTCAAAATTAATAATTTTTTTTGGTCGCCAAAGACGCTTTTACAAAAGATTTAGAGTTGGTCGGCCTAAAATGAATGTCATAAAATAATACCAAAGGGGGACTCTTTGGTTGACGAGGAGGTCGAATATCGGAGGAGAAGGAACATCCGCCCCATGCACGAATTATACGAACTAACGCCCCGGGGCGTTAGTTTTCCCAAGTTGGCAATTTCTAAATCTTGATATCATTACGAAAACTGATCACAGGTGAAATATCTTTTCAAATTTGAGCTCAACGATACCGTTCGAATTATTTTTTAAAAAATCCGACAAAAATTGCTAGTTAAAAATTTCGAAATTTGTCTGAGAAAAAAGCCACTCCGAGCTCAATTACTCTGTCACTTCCGTCAATTCCGTCACTCGAGCACAAATATTCCGTCATCAGTCGGAATAATAAAGACCTCGAGAAGAAAACTGGAAGAGGACTCTTTCAAACTGCTACTTATAGAACTTACGGATCTCTTTAACTATCTAACTATCCCCCCTTGGTAGCTAGAAACAAATTGCCATACCTAATGGACTAATCCAACAGTTTGTATGTAATTTTTGTACCTAGTAATGAATATCCACGCCTTTTGCAACAGTGGGGGGGGGGGGGGTAGTTAAAAAGATCCGAACTGACTCCTTACCACTGATAAGGATCAAAATCTGACTTTTCTTTAAACTTCATTAGTTTGTACCTCTTTTTTCCTTTCAAATTCTTGATATTTTTCGTTGAAAACACCTGGATTGTTTTGTTTCCATATAAAAATATTAATCACCATGCTCAATATTATTTCAGTTAAAAATATTACAATTTTTAATATATTTCAGCCGCCAAAGACTTAATAGACCAGCTGTTGGTTGTCGAAACGCGCAAGAGAATGAAGTCTCCAGCCGTCCTCAAGCACAAGTTCATCACAACACACAAGACATGAGTCGAACCCACACTTCTATCTCTCTATCTCATTTTACGGACTTACTTAACTCAACAGTGGACCATGACTCATCTATGGACCATCTATGGACTTCTATGGCTCTATCTGAATGATCGAACCAGAAAGTTTTTATTCAACTGGATTATTCTGTCAATCTCGATGTCTAAATATTCGAATGTAGCATGTTACTTTCCCGCAAATGAATGTTTGTAACCCGACAAACCCCAACTAGTACATTAAACTAACTCAAAGAGTAGAAACTAATTGATCCGCGTGATTAAATTACATACTTAATTGTGATTTGAAAATAAACGAAATGTCAGGCATTTTGAAACCAGGCTTGGTTTCGAGTTGCGATTTATTTATTGCCCTCTTCATCTAGATCAAAATTGACTCGTCTTGCCGACGGAAAATTTGCTGTTAGCATATCAATTTTATTGAAAGTTTCTATTTTTACAGAATTTCAATTTAAATGTTCTAATTTTATGTTTTTCACCTCAAGCTCGGAAAAAAAAACTGGCAGAAAGTTTTAAGAAAGATTTTGCCAGAATCATTTCTGTCCTCAGCAGTGGCGTGCAAAGAATTTTTTCAAGGGCCAGTTTTCCGGAAAACTTATGGATATTTAGGTCAACCGAATCGATTTCTGTGCTTCACTAAAACCCCATTTTTTCCAAAACTTTCTGCGCCGCGGCCAAATTTTGAAAAAGGTCAAAAACTCGTTTTTGGATGGTTTTGACCAAAAAAGTTGCGTTTTTTCGGCGCTCATCACGCTATTGCTCTTCACTGTCTATGAGCTCCAGTTTTGGCCGATGGAATACTTGTTTCGCTTAAATACTACTAAGATTGAAACGCGTAAACGCAAATTCTTAATTTCACTCTAAAACCTCTTTTTTACTCACTTTCGCGAACTTTTGTCTGTTTCGCATAACCTGAAGAAATATCTGGGTTGTTCAAGAATACACAAGAAGTGTAATTTCTAGCCGTTAAAATAATTAATTCAAAAAACCGCACCTGTGCAGTCTCAAAAAATTGCAATCAGCTAACGGCCTGTAAATTATCTTCATTTTGACAAAAAATGATAAATTGTCTTCAAGTTAGTGGAAAAAGTTCAATAATGCTGTAGTAGTTTAACTGCTACCTCTGTTTTTTGGTTGAAATACAGAGGTATTTAGTTCAAGGCCCACCTAAAAAAATCCATGATGCTGGCTTGAAGTTGACAGCATTTCACTGTCACAAAAGATCCATTTATAAGGTTATGTGTCTCTTAAGTTGGTACTTGTATTCAATTATCCAAGAAAAAGCATCATATCAAATTATCGACAACAGATTTTTAGTTATTGAAAAAGCTGAAGTCATGTCAAAAGATCGTTTTACTTTAAAAAAACTCTCTTAGAAAGTCTAAAGCTAGTTTCGCATTTTCCTAGACAGTTCAACTTAGTTCAATACTTCTTGGCTACATTAGAAGCAAGGTTAAACAAGCAAATCAAAACTATTGATTAACATTTTCAAATTTACTTCAAATAATGTTACAGTATAATGTCAGTTAGACGGAACTTATAAATATGAACTCAATTACAACAAAAATGATAGTAGTTTTTCCCTGGCTCATCAATTTGTGTAAGTTCTCACATTTTTGCCATTTGCTACTTTTTGTCATTTTGTTTTGGTGTTTTTGATCAAAAATTACTGGAAAGCAAATCCCATTTTGTGCTAAATATCAAGAAAAGTTGAGACAGTCCGTTAAGTGCACCTGATAAGGAATTATCTGTCATTAAATTCCAATATATGCTTGAATTCCAACTTATCCCTCTGATATATCTTCGGATGCCAATATTTATCTTAGCAGATATGTTTCTTGTAGTAATAAAAATTTACTGCGCTTATTAAATGACGATAAAAAAATTTGATCGCAAAGTTTGATTTTTTTATTATCTGAATTTATTTTTTTATCAACCATTTAATTCAAAGTTTGATATCAATAATTGAATCCTTGTACCATAAACACAGAAGCAAAATCTTGAAACATAGACACATCGAAAAAATGAATAAATTTAATACGACATTTGATCAGAAAGGTCTTTTTGTTTTCGATTGTTTTAGTTTTTTTGTTTATTTTCCACGAAAAACAGGCATTGCTAATAATAATCAAAATCAGTCAAATCTTAGATCTTTTGATGTCTTTGGAGTCGTGAATCGAACGAAATTTAAAAAAATTTCGCAGCGTCGAGAAAAAAATATATGTTTTGTCTAGTTTTAAGCAAGTAACTCGAAAAAGACGTCTTAAAAAGATAGTTTAATTCCTTTAATTCAAATTAAACTTTGAAAAATTGTATTCCAGTAAAATTACTAGTCAACGAATTTTTGGTGACTCCTTTAATTTTTTTTCCAAAAACATCTTAGGTTTTTGCAAAAACGCTTAGAACAATTTTGGAATTGTTTTTATTTGGTAAACATTTTTTCTAAATCATCCGAGTTTGACAAGAAAAATAACTAATAAAAAAAACACTTCTGAAAAACAAAATTATTATGAAATCCAAATTGTAGTCCAATTTTGCTGTAAACTGGTCTGAATAACCAGAAACTTACGCCAGTTTATCTCGTTGCTGAGATAACTTTTGAGTTTTTTTAATCATTTTTAACTTCTACAGCTGTTTTTGAGGTAATCAAACTCGGTCGGAAAAACTGACAGACTAAAACAAACGTTTTTGGAATTACATGATGGCAAAAAAGACGCTAATTCAGCAGATGGACTTATGAATAGTTTTGCAATGAAAAAAATGGAAAACAATTCTTTTATGCCGTGAAAGTTGAGCACAAATTTTTTGCGTTTTGTACGGCATATGACGTCTCGTCAGGAGCTTAGCATCAGTAAAGCAAATAATTGATTGATGCATAGTTTATTGATGCAAATAGTTTTTTGGCGCTGATCCAGAAAAACTGCGAAACGTTAGAAAGAAATTTCGGCTTCCTGGGCTTTCGTGGGTGTGGTTCTCGTGCTACTTGATCGATCATAATGAGGCCGAACTGAGTTTTTTGTGATTTATTTGTACTTGTTAAAAGATTTGATTTTACTAAAATTTAGCAGATAAGGCAGACGAGTCTTTATCGGGACGTCCGAGCTTGAATCCAATGATCCCAGAAAAAGGTTATAATGTTTTAATGAACAAAGTGAAGACACCCGTGTGAACCAAAGTCGCTATCTGAGAACTTTTTACAAAATTAGGCATAAAAAATGTTACAAACTAGGGGATTTTTCTTTAAGAAAAATGTAAAATAGTGACTTTTCTAACACAAAAGTTGTAAGATAGGAACTTTTCCTACAAAAATATTTCAAATTTTTTGCATGTTTAATCTAAACCATTTTTTTATAAAGAGTTCAAAAAATTCTCCACTGTAGCAGAGTACAGTCACGTAAACTCGTAAACCAAACGACTCCTTTCGCCACATGAGTTTACTTAAAAACTCACTAACTTTAAAGAGTTAATTTTTTGCTGATAACTAGAATTTTTGTCGATATTTACACCAACCCCACATACAACACGTCCGGAGCTACATAACATGTTTCATCAAAGTTGATTTTTTTTTCAAACTAATTTCATGCCGCTATTTACGTGTAACTAAAACGTTCAATGAAAAAAATCAATTTTTGTTCTGACCTTTTTCAAAATGGGGAGCAAATTTGTATTTGGATTTGTTTTTGTTTTCCACGCAAAATCAACAACCACAAATAGTCATCGGAGACGTTCTTCAGTTATATATTATAATAAAGCTCTCTCAGTTGTAATTCGAAAAACATGTGAAAAATTTCGGAAAAAAATCCCAGCGTCGAGAAAAACGGTTTGAAATGTTTTATTTTTTGTCTAATTTCGAGCGAGTAAAGCGAGCTAGCGCACTCTTTTTAATGCTTAAATTAAGCCGTTTACAATAGCTTAAGTTTCTGCTTAATTTTAATTTTATTCAAGTTAATTAGTTTTTGAAGATTTTTAATGCCATTTGGGGAATCAAAACTTCAAAAATTCAAAGAAATTCTGCAAAAATAATAATTTTTTGACTTGGTAAAAATTGTTTGTAAATTTTTTTTTGCTTTTTTTGTTTTTCTAGTCATTTTATCAAAATTTGTTGTCCTGTTTGCCATTTACAATGACTGTCAAATAAACCTAATTTAAAGTTGTACTAATTTAAATTTTTTATCTGGAGCAGTAGGGTATCTCGTTCAAACGTAGGGGATCTCGATCAAACAAGGGGTTCCAACGCAGGTTAATGTATTTTAAGACATAATGCACAAATTTTTGTTGAAAAATTCTGCAGACTGTTTTTGGGATTTAAAAGCGATGACAAATAAGTAAGCTAATCAAATTAATTCTTTTCAGACCAATATTTGATTTACAAGAAGCCTTTTTCTTTGTGGTTTGAACTCAAAGTGTCGTTATTTTTAGAGTAGTAGAAAAAACATAAATGAGCGCTCCAACTGGCTCTCGACTTGTGCTAAGTTTTTTTGGTGAAACATCGATTTCATTACTGAAGTACTCAAAAAAAACTTCCGGCAACCAAAAAGTATTGTTACCACTTTCCGTTCATAAAATATTAAAAGGAAACAATTAGCTTTCTCAATCGCTTTGTTGTGTTGAGTGCGCATTAATGCGAAGCCTTCAAAGAGATCACTAAACGAATGAAAAACGCACATAAATTGCAAAATATACTGATTACTCAAGCTGCAAAGCATACAAATTACACAGGCTGCAAAACACCTATTTCTGCTTTTGACCATTGCATTGTACAACAACTGTAAATTTACTGAAAAAAAATTTAAGCTGGGTTTTATTGCAAGCGTTTTTTGTTTCATCAGTCTGTTTTTAATCACGCAAGTCGCACTTTATAGAGCTAAAACTTATGGGTCTATAAAGTCGCACTTGGGATCTATAAAGACGCACTTTATAGAGCAAAAGTTTGTATTAATCAGCTACCACAAGTAATCACAGGAGATAGTTGAGTGATAAATGATATTGAAGCCCTTATAGTCGTAGTTCGGACTACTTAAAAAAAATTTCTTAGTTCGCTTATTTTACTATGATTGTCGAATATGCCTCAGCTCTAGTTTTTCGTTCAGATCTTTTTATCGCACAAAAAACGGCAATTTGAAAAAAAAAATGAAATTTTTTTAAAGACCATGGTCGGAATTTTCTGTGCTTTTTGCACAGTAACCGACTATACTTGTTTTAGCTTGGCTTTTTCGACCTAATAATTCTGTAGATACTTTGAGACTAGAAATGCTGATAAGAGTAAGCATTTGTAAACCTATCGGAACGACAATTTTTAAAAATGACAGCCTCATGGTATAAATTTACAGGACCAGAAGAATTCTCAATAGACAGTATTGCCTTTTTTGCAATCCTGTTTCATCAATTAGACATATAGGTTCTATTTCAGTGTTACTGGTATCTTGCACTGCGCCTTCCCTTGAAACAGTTAGACACACTATGGACTTC